ACTTTATTGGGAATGAAGAAGTAGAATGAGACTTTTATTCATATATATAGAATTGGATTCATCCCTTCTTTATTCCCATTTATATGGTAACAATACTCTATGAACTCCAAATCTGGACACTTTTTTTTTCTATGTGGTGAGATAGATGGTTGATAGTGTGACAGGATATTTAAAATTTGCATAATTTAAGAAAAGGTGAGACAAATTCATGGCCTAATTGATAGGAGAGAGAAGTGCAGAGCATTTCTTTATTTTTACCTGAATTTGATTTAATGCTATAAATCAAATTCAGGTAAAACTAAAGAAGCTTAACTTCAACCAAGCTTAGCTTGGTTAAAATATCGGGGGGGGGCACCTCGGTGGTGAAGTTGGTTGGGTGTCCAACTCATTGTTTTGTTTGCAGTTGTGATCTTGGGGTCGTGGGATTGAGCCCTGAGTTGGACTCTGTCCCCAGAGTGGAGTCTGCTTGGGACTCTCTCCCCCTCTCTCTGGGCCCCTCCCCACCTCTCTCTCTCTCAAATAAATAAATAAATCTTTAAAATATCAGGGGCAAAATAGCTATTTGGCAGTATAATTTCACATAAACTCTGTAAGCTGGCCTGTCATTATAAACATGCTTACTATCTTTAAACACAAAACACTAGAAGTCAAAAATCTAAAGGTATTTATTCCTTGATCTTGTTTTTATCTTGTACTCATTGAGTTGTTTAATACTCAAGTGTTGTTCAAAAGCATATAACAATTCAGGCCAGAGATTGGACAATAAAAAGGCTGAACAAATTTAGTTGTTGAGAGCAGCTGTTATTCACTAATTCAGAAAAAAAAAATTTCTCCTCTTTTGGCAGAAATTGTCCTTTGGAAACTTAAAGTATCTTTTCTCCCACCTCAAAGCCTCACAAATGGAAAAGTTGTGCTGGATGGATGTCTTTAGTATCTACAACCAGGAAAAAATGTGTTTCTCAGAAGAGATGGTGAAAAGTCTTTAGAAAACTGGGTTAGGATGGATTTGAACAGATCTCTTTTCTTCCACTGCAAAAAGCCTTTAGCTTGTTATCATATCTCCTAGTGGGATCAGCTTGTAGCAAATTCAGTTCCATTTCAGGAGTTACAAGTCTTCAGTTAAACGTAGAAAACTGAAGAGAACTCTACATCTGGACAAAGTAATCTTTGCCATTTATTAAGCTATTTTAAGTATCCACTAATTCCTCTCAAACAAAGGTGAATAAGCTGAAGTCTTTAGTTGGTTTAAATTAAGGGGAATGATATTTCTCCTTTATAACATATTTAATGATATGTATTCACTTCAATACATTTGTGATATTCCAAGTAATGCAGTGATACTAATTCTCTATTCCAGTGGACAGAATGAGAGTTCTTAGTAAAGTCACTGGTAGCTAAGAATTTGAACTGACATTGAGGTACAGAGACCATTTTGCATGAAAAAGTTTCCTGTGATTTTGCCAGTGTGTTTGCCGCTTGGCCTCCTTGTCTGCCATTTCCTTCTGTGTATTTTAAATTCTTTTTTTTAAAGATTTTATTCATTTATTTGAGAGAGAGAGACACAGCGAGAGAGGGAACACAAGCAGGGGGAGCGGGAGAGGGAGAAGCAGGCTTCCCGCTGAGCAGGGAGCCCGATGCGGGGCTCGATCCCAGGACCCCAGGACCATGACCTGAGCTGAAGGCAGACGCTTAACGACTGAGCCACCCAGGTGTCCCTGTATTTTAAATTCTAATGAAAACAGAACTGTCCAGCTCTCAACCAAGCCTGATCATATTTCACACTCGTGTCGTTATTCACGCTCCCCTTTGTGTTATAAAATTTCCACTCCTTTAAATCGCTAACTCTACTGATGCTTCAAAACTCAGGTCAGGGGCATCTTCTCTAGGAGACTGTTCCTAACCAGCTGGTCTGGGTAAGGTTCATTTTCTGTACCACCCCATAGCTCTCTGCCCAATAATTCTGTCAAATTGGGCCACATCTATCTCCTCTTATAGACTAAGTGATATACTTGAGAACAAGTATCACTACTTTGTAAATCCTCAGTACGGTCTATTGTTCCAATACTTCATGCAATTAATTAATGAATTAAATATTCACATCAATGACTATTATAGCTTCCTGCTTTCTGGGACTTTCAGTTTATAGAGAAGACAAATAGACAAATACATATATGATCCTAAGGCAATATGACAGCATAATGGAGTGGCATAATTTAGATTTGAGATCAGGAAAGTCTTTGAGGAAAGGACAAGAAATTTGAGACCTGAAGAATGAATAGGAGTTATCCAGACAAAGACTGGGGGTGGGAAGAGCATCCTAAACAGAGAAAAGAGCACTGATTAAAGGCCTTGTACCAAATCTGTATTAGGCTTTTTAAAATGCTCACAGCATTTTGTTGAGGAATAATTTATATAAAATAATTTTATATATTTGTACAATTTTAAGGGTGCAGCTTGCAATTTTGACATGTGTATGCAGTCGTGTAACTCAATAGTAACTCAGATCAAGATAAAGAACATTTTTATCGCCCTACAAATTTTCCTTGTTTCCCCCATTTCAGACAATTCCACACGATTCCACCCCTGGAGGTAACAACTATTCAGGTTTTTATCACTCAGTGTGATGCTTTCAAAGAACTGAAGAAAGTTCAGTGAAACAAAGGGAGGGAACAAGGGGTATGGTAGAGAGATGTGAGTGCAGAGGTAAGAAGATGGCAGATCATGGAGAGTCTTGAGGACCTGGCTCAAGATTTGGAATTTTGGCACGAGTGAAATGAATAGCTGTTGAAGACCTGAGCAGAGGTGACATGATTGGATTCATGTATTAATAGCTATACTAACTAGAGAGGGTTAAGAGTGGAAATAAAGGAATCAGTTAGGAAGCTAACATAATATTCTAGGGTAAGAGATAATGGTGGCATTAGCCAAGGAATAGCATGTGGATGGAGAACAATCGATAGATACAAGATCTCATTTGGAGTTTGTAGAGACTCAAACATTTATTAAAATGAACTCTAGTATTTTAGTAAAGAGCATCATTAAAAGTTATGGTTGCATTTAAACAGCTAATGTTTCTGAAAGCTAATAAAGATATTCTCCCAATTTTAAGTAGTATTTATTATTTCCTGTGTGCTTCATAATGAATTTTACCTATAAAGGGAATATTGCTTGGAGTTTTCTATAATAACTAGCCTAATATTTGCCTTTTGACCATGAAAAAGATTTTCCAAAGATTTTCTTTCTTTCTGTAATGAGTTTAAAATCATAACCAAACAGAAATTTTCATTTTTACCTATTCACATTCTCAAAATATGACTCACTTTGCCAGCAAAAACTAGTACGGAGAATGAATACTTCAAAACAAAATGCTGTTGAACACTTTTACCCTTAGATTAGATTTGAGGTATTTAAGTCAATAATACTATGCCAACAAATCTTGAATGACATTTATGTATTAGGTGAACATCATCTCATTTACTAAAAATATCTTTTAGTTTGCTTCTTTTTCCTTTTTTTGAACAAGTGGTATTTCTCTAAATAGCTTAGTCAGTTTTTGTTTTGTGTCCACATTTTGAAAACCTGATGCTTGTTTTTGATTCTTTAAGTGGTAAAATGGAATGTTAGAAAGTGGTAAGGTTACTGTATTATTTCGTAAGGCTGCCGTAACAAAATGCCACAAAAAGGGTATTTAAAACAACAGAAATTTATTGTCTCAGAGTTCTAGAGGCTAGAAGTTGAAAATCCAGCTTTCAGCAAATCCATGTTCCCTCTGTCCTTCCTTGGCTCTTCCTAGCTTCTGGTGGTTTGCCAGCAATCTTTGGCATTCTTTGGCTTATAGATGCATTGCTCCAATTCTGTGTCTTCACATGGCATCCTCCCTGTGTCTGTCTCTTCATATGGCATTCCTTTTATAAGGACACAAGTCATTTTGGATTAGAGGTCCACCCTATTCCAGTGTGACCTCATCTAAACTAATTACATCTACAGTGACCCTATTTCCAAATAAGGTCATGTTCTGACAGACTGGGGGTTAGGACTTCAGTGTATCTTTTTTATGATGAGGAAGGACATGACTCAACTTATAACAGTTACCAAAAACAATAAAAGTGAAAGCTGCTGCTACTGGGAAATTGCCTCCTGATCAACCTCTCCATTTGCTACATATATTTTCTTCATTATATGTAGAAAAATAACTAAATAGAGATATGAAAAGCTTGTGTGTGTGCATGCTCTCACCTCTATAGACCTAGAATGATAACTCATGGAATAGATATGGAAGTTGTGAAAATTGTGTTTTAAATTTCCATGTCTAGTTCATTCCTTTATTTTGGCATAGACATTGGCATAATTTTCTTAGAGCAGGCTATGCACTTTTTTTTGTAGTATCAACACATTTGTTTTCATTCCTTTCTCTCTAAAGTAATTTAATATAAGCAAAATAAAATGGAATTCTGACGGACAGCTTTTGTTCCTCCATCCTAGATAAGATGTGTTACAAAACACCAAAATGCTCAGCTAGTATGGCTTACAATGGATTTTAACTGTTTCTTATACTTGGGAAGATGCATCATTTGTAGTGAGTGTCACTACTCTGGACAGGCTATCTGAATAATTCAGTTACTCCAGCTCTGAATTTTCTCTGTAACCTGATTTTTTCCACTTGATTCTCTAATCATTCGGTAATACTCAACTGATATTTAATGCACATCCTCTGTATACCAGACACAAAGAAACAGATATTTTCTAACTCCTAAGTAACTAAATCTAAGACTATTTTTCCTGGCTACTTTTCTTAACAACTTTCACATTGAATTATGATATATTCAACTATAGGTATCAGTTAAACAGACTGAAGGGTTGAGTAAATATCATAGGGGATGTTAGAGTTATTCTTGTACCCTGTATTGTGCTTTTGTGACTAATGTTTATATATATATATATATATATATATATATATATATATATATATATATTTTTTTTTTTTTTTTTTTAAATTTCAGCTGAAAGAGACATCAATGTCTACTGTGGGGTGCAGACCATTACAATGAAGATTAATTTTTGCACCGTACTTTTTTCCGGTTATTCTGAAACTGATCTGGCGCTGAATGGAAGGCATGGGGACTCCCACTGCAGGGGGTTCATCAATAACAACACCTTTCCCGCAGTGGTCATTTTCATCATCAATCTCAGCACCTTGGAGGGCTGTGGAAACAACTTAGTGGTAAGATAAGTGTGAAATTGTGTGCTAGGTTTGGGGTCACGACAAAAAGTCTCCCCATTTCATGAAATAATCAGAAGCCCAATCTTTCAAGAAAAAATTCCAATAAAACCGAGCAAATCATTTTCTTTGCCTGTTTGAGGCTTCAGACATACGATTTTATTTCCCAGTAATGGTTCTGCTTATTGTAGCTGAAAGTTGAGGGGACTGAGTGAGATCAGCTGTGCTATTCTAAACAACATTATTTGTGGGAGTGACATTGATGAACATTTCCCTACAGTTTATCATTAGCTATGCTTCTTATGCTTTTTATGGAACTATCTTATCATACAAAATTTGTTTGTTCTGGTGAGTTTGGCAATGAATCCCTTGGCCCCTTGCTTCTTAGTGACCTCATTCAGAAAGAAAGATGAAATATAGACTGGGAAACTCAGCATCTTCTAGGTCCATGTTTACCATGGAATGACCCACAGCAGTGTTTTGTGGGAGAGAGCTGTCAGCATTTTCAGTGTGATATTCTTCACTGTGTGGGACTGTCTTTTGAATTTCCAAATGTTTTTCATATCCAATCTTATTCATGAAATCCCAGTATATTGTTCAAAGAAGGAAATCTCTCTAGTCATTGTGAAAATCAAAATACTGCTTCAAATATTTCCACCCTGAATGAGAACAACTAGTCTATGCTATTCATTTATTTATACTTGCATTGAACACCAAAAAAATAAGAAGAAAGAAAGAAGAAAGAAAGAAAGAAAGAAAGAAGAAAGAAAGAAAGAAAGAAAGAAAGAGAAAGAAAGAAAGAAAGAAAGAAAGAAGAAAGAAAGAAAGAAAAAGAAAGAAAGAAAAAGAGAAGAAACTGAATAAGGAATTGATTCTCCCAGGAATTAAAATTAATTGAAGTATAAATATTATGATTTGAGGGGTGTTACACTGAAATTCATTGAGTACTGTTTTTTTTATTTTGCTTGTTTAAATATAATCTTATTGGTAAATCCTAGCACAGACAAAAAGGAGATACAGTGAACATGACCACTTAGCCCAGTGGATGAGGAGAAACTGGCTTTTTCTCTTCATAAATTATTGTTTGGGATTAAAGGGGAAGGCTTAATTTCTCTAAGGGCAGGGTTTCTAAGACTTGATGGGAGATGGGAGACAGGAAAGAGAGATTTCTTTGATCTCCTTCTTTATCTTTTCCCCGGAGGGCAGTTAGAATATTGTGCCCATGACCGTTTCCAAGCCTGCAGTGTGAGTATTGTTGACTCTTTTTATTAAAAACATTTATTCATCTCTCTGAGTTGTGCACAGAGAGGTTATGAGGTGGGCCTGAGGGAGAGTGATGCAGGCTGATTATTACATGTCTGTGTTTCCTTGTGGAGGGAGGAGCCCATATGGAGAGCCAAGGTTTCCCTCCTCCCACCTTACCCTGGGGTCTCTCCTTCAGGGTGCTTTCTTCTCCGGATTTAAGTCTTGCCCTGCTGCCAAGAAAATAGTTCAGGAGAAATGCCAGGCAAAGCATCTGTGTGTGTGTGTGTGCATGTTCGCACGCGCATGTGCTATTTACTTTTTTTAAAGCCGAATAACTTGGGCATAAAAATTGCTATATACCTGTGTGTTGTGTTTGTTTTGTTTTCACAGAGTTTGGTATGTTTAGTTAGCCAGTCAGGGAAGTGTGAGAGGAGGGGATTTGCTTATTTTTTCATTTTTGCCATAGATGTCACCAACTTTGGAGTCTTCTCCAAGGATAATCTTACATAGGAAAAATTAAGTAGACTGTGACATCACTGGATTAGAATAAAAAAAATGTTTTCATTTGTAATGATTCTGGCTCTGTTCATGAATTAGCTTGATAATTGCCTCAGCTTTGCCCATGTACTTCTAGGTTCACGCATAAAGTTTATTCTATTGTTGAAAAGTAAGTATTACAGATTTCCATAATACCTGCTGAAAGTATTTATTGAGTGTTATACTGTCTTTGACATAATGGACGAAGCTGTATTCCTCTATGGTGTTATGAAAGTCAAGAACATTATTGATTATTCCTAAAATGGTGGTTCTTAAATTTTAGTGGGATTGAAGAATCCAATGAAAGCTAATCAGTCCCATGAAAATACACATATGGACAATATTTTAATATAACTTCTGGGAGTTCATGATCCCCCTGAAGCCCATCTATGAACTATTGCTCTCTGAACTATTGCCCTGGAAAGAGATGAGGGTCTCCATGTAAGTATCACAGAGGAAAGCCCTCAGATTGACCCTCAGAAAATTTGTGACCTTAATTCATTTGTTCAGAATTTATCTCAGGGGTCCCAAGATGCTGGTGTCACTGTGTGATGCAGACCATGCAAAGGCAAATAAGACTAAGAGGACTCCCTACCCACAAGAGGCTCTGATTACGGTGAAGGGGACTGACAGTTCAGGAGACTGCTCATGCACCGTTCCTCCGCCTGTGATGGAGATGAGCACTGCCTATAGGGCAGTCAGGAGCTTTCCTGGGGAACAGGAGATCCAGGGGAGAAGCAGGATATGTCATGGTGAAGTGGGGGAGGAAGGAGGCAGAGGGAGCATGTGCGAAGCCACAAGGGCCTTATGGCTGGGGCATCATTTCTTCTTCTTATTTTTTAAGGATTTTATTTATTTATTTGTCAGAGATAGAGAGACAGGGAGCGCACAAGCAGAAGGAATGGCAGGCAGAGGGAGAAGCAAGCTCCCTGCTGAGCAAGGAGCCCGATGGGGCACTCGATCCCAGGACCCTGGGATCATGACCTGAGCCAAAGGCAGACCGACACTTAACCTACTGAGCCGCCCAGGTGTCCCAATGGTTGGGGTATTATTAGGCAAGAGTATGAGTCTGGAGATACCAAGCCAAAGTGGAAAACAAGATCAGTTTAACAGGGATCTTTTAAGCCAGGCCACAGAATTTGGACCTTACTCGTGAATATTTTTGAATTACTTTTTGTAGCCCTCTGAACATGTAATCCCTCTCCTTTCTTATTTATGAATTATGAATAAAGTGTCTTTGGTGAATATGAAGTTTCCTTTAGTTAAAAGACATATGTAATCACTTATAAATAGCAGTATGTGTATATAATCTCAAAACCATGGCATGTTGTAGTTGAAACAGACCCTAGGAATGATCTGGTCTAATGTTTTATTTTGCATATGAAATGCCTAGATTTACATATATCTATTTAATCATTGAACTTGATCTACTGTTTTAATAGGTATCCACAATTTCTGGAGTCAGTGCTTATGGAAATGCAACTTCAGTACAAATAGGAAATATTTCAGGATACATTGATACTCCAGACCCACCAACAATCATCAGCTATCTACCTGGGCTTCTTTACAAATTTAGTTGTAGTTACCCACTGGAATACCTGGTTAATAATACTCAGCTTGCCTCGTAAGTTCACATTCTATCCTTGCTTTCACATTCTGTCTTCATGTTTGAGTCATTTTTTTATCCTCAAGGGACTTATGAAAATAGCAGGATTTGTTGAGAATAGCCAAACTCAAAGTAATGGGAACCATATTAAGTCTTGTCTTTATCGATCGAGCGATCGATCGATCTGACATTGTTATGACCCATATCAACAGATCAGATATATATATGGTGTATATATATATATATATACACACACATATGTATTTCCCCCCAAATTAAAACTGGCTCAAACTGGTCAGATGTCTAGCTAGGGGTTCTCCTCATGCCCTTTAGAATTGCCCAAGAAGCTAAGAATTCTGGGTGCTGATGCGGTCCAGGAGTGTCCTGTTTCCAGTACATAGACTAGTTACTGCATGTCGAGTCTTGCTTGGCTTCAGTCTCTGCCATAAGCTCTCACTCTTGGACTCTACTGCCTCAGAACCTGGGGACCACATGCCTCTTCTGGGGTGTCAACTGCACAAGTGCCGATGGTTCCCAAAGAGAGGTGACATCACTCAGAGCCAAAGAGCTTCAGATATGGACTGAGGTCATAGCCTTTTGCTTATAGTCATGCATTCATTCATTTTTCCTAAAGCACATACTCCAAGACAGGGTTATGTTCACCTTATAACATAGTCTTCTGGATTTGTCAAATAGTTTTGACAAAATGGATAATTGAGTGAAAACTTTCTCTCCTCAGATCTAGGGTTTGCTATCGCAAAGGTATAGTGATTGTTTAATCTCAGTCATGAGGGAACGTGGAGGCCACATTCTGTTTCAGTTAAAAAAAATGATTACAGCTGATTTTAATGGCACAGTGATGATAAATACCTTGGTAAAAAGCAAGACTTGGAAGACAAGAAAAGAAAGGTTTTGAGTCAAAACGATCCAGGGCTAGAGGGAAGTGAGTCATTAGGGTGTCACAGACTTACTCTGCTGCCCCTCTCTCCCCCAGTAAACACATTCCTAGGCTGCAGTGTACATGGAAAGTCATTCATTTATTCAACAGATACTTATTATACTTCTACCATGTGCCATGCAATGTTCTAGCAGTGAACAAAGTAGAACAAAATCCCTGATCTCATGAAACTTCTCATGGGATTGATGAAAATGTACTTATATCAGATTCAAATTATACTGGAATGACATTTTTCTTTAAACAGTCCCATATATGCAGTGCAAAATGCAAAGATGCCTTTGTAAATAAAAAGATCATAAAGAACAGTCTGTCTTTATTTGGTCTCTCTTGCTTTTTGATTATTTATCTGTTCAGTGATTTAAAGAGTGTGCCTACTCCAGGCCTAGTTAAAAGTATATCAAGCTTACTCAAGAGTTTTAGTGCCTTAAATCCAACATTAATGTATAACTGAAACTTTTAATTTAAAATCTCATCAATGCTTTCCTTTCTCTAAATCTATTTTAGGTCCTCAGCTGCTATTTCTGTGAGAGAGAACAATGGTACATTTGTCAGCACTTTGAACCTGCTCCTTTATAATGTAAGTTGATGGGTGAAGGATGTTATGTTCCCTCTCACTGTTCTGAGGAGCCATTTATGCGGATGGATTTTATATCAAAATCCACCAAAAGCCACATTAACCCTGTTATACTTTGGTAACATTTACCCATCTTTACCAGCATTTTTATACATCTTAGTGATAAAGGTATACTAAAAACTCCATTACTTCCTAAAAGTTGATAAATGACTTCGATTTTATTTTGTAAATGTGATTCTACATAGTTACTCCAAGTGTCTATCTACATTTATATGTATATATTTATTTGTGTGCATGTGCGTGTAGCCATAGTCAGGGTCAAGATTTTGGAAGTAATATTTTTGTGATAAAAAGATAGGAAAAGTCCAAATGATACTTTTCTTGGTGATGAATGTGTTAATATTTTCAATATGGGTTTTGGCTGATGACAATTATGTCACATTTGAAATAATTTGGGTTGACTACATAGTATTGTCTAAACTCTTGTCATGTAAATATCGACAGTGGCAGCAAGACGTGAAAAATACATGGATTTCTATTTATAACTCTAACATTAATCCCCCAAATGATATTTTCATGTTGATTAAAAGTTTTTATTCATACATTTTAAATGCCTGATTTAAATATCAATTTTTCAATCTATCAACCAACATTTTTGTAAATTATGAATCTGATTTTTACATTATTATTCATGTCATCATGGCACTGAGTTATAATTCATGCAACTGATTTAAAAGTCAGTGCTTTATACTTTGAATATAATGAGCTATAAATATTGTAGTAGGACATTTTCCAAAGGCATTTAAAAAAATCATGTTTATAAGTTTGTAGTCTGACACCACTGAGTTTTAAATAACAAATTAAAATCTGTTGGAATGAAGATTGCCTTTCTGTGATTTCCAGACTTTCCTCTGCAAGAAGAAACTGCCAAGTTACTCGATTCCACAATGCTCGGCAAATATGTGCCAATATTCATTCCCAATATGGCCAGATATTTATTATTGTTTTGAGCAATATTTTTACATTGGAAAATTCCTATCTGTTGATTTATATGTGTAAGCTCCCTGGGGTAGAATTGAGGTGACTGGTTTGGATTCAGTATTATTTGTTATATTTGAATGAAACAAAGATGAAACTTCCTGATCCTAAAAAAGTAAAAAAATATACCCACATGGCATTTAATGACACCATTATTTTTTGTGAAATAAAACTATTCTCTTACTGGAAAAGCAGAAAATAGAAATTTAGATGTGTGGATTTGGGGAGAGCTTTGCTATGAGGGTCTTTCCTTTATCATTAGAAATAGTATTCTCCTGTTGCTAACTAGACATAATCCCTCAAAACTTGCTAGAATCTTAATGCTAAATAAAAGCCTGTAATTTGGTGATAACCTTAAGATTTTAATTCTGTGGTAAAAAGGTTAACCAATTGTTTGATATCAGACTATAAATAAAATAGGTAATGTCAAAACACTTCTCATTTTTTTTTGATGTGTCATGCTTTTTATTTGATAAGACTCAACATCCTGAGAGCTCTGATGGGAACAGGTTCTAAAAATATAATTCAGGGGATGCCTGAGTGGCTCAGTTGTTTAAGCATCTGCCTTCGGCTCAGGTCATGATCCTGCGGTCCTGGGATCCAGCCCAGCATTGGGCTCCCTGCTCAGCAGGGGAGTCTGCTTCTCCCTCTCCCCATCCCTCCTTCCCCCCCCTACTCGTGCTCTCTCTTGCTATCTCTCTCTCTCAAATAAATAAAATATTTTAAAAAATATAATTCAGAAAATAGAATAAACACATCTCATTTTTAACCAGTTTGCAATAAAGGTGTCATTAATGGTTGAATTAAAAAACTAAATTGAATTTTAGAAGTTATTTACTAAACAATTATTTAATGAAATTTAACCATTTCTCCACAAAATGTTTTTTTAATTAATAGACAAACTTTTAGAGCAGTTTTAGGTTTACAGAGAAACTGATCTGAAAATACAGAGATTCCCACAGAACTCCTGTGCCTGTACACAATTTCCTCTATTACTTACACCTTGAATTTTGGGGTATATTTGTTACAGTTGATGAACCCATATATATATTAACTGAAGTCCATAGTTTATATTTGGTTTCACTCTTCATGTATATTTTGTGGATTTTGATGAATGTTGATAACTTGGATCCATCATTACTGTATCATATAGAAGAGCCTCACTGCCCCCAACTACTTTTTTAACATGGCATGGATGTAATATTTTGCCATGATACAGGATATTACCAAACTAGTAGTTTATGCAAGCTTCCAGTTTTAAAGTAAATAAGTCACAAAGGTGGAAAGTATAGCCTAGGGAATACAGTCAATTGTATTGTAATAACAAGGAAAAAAAACTAGTAATTTAGACTAGAAAAAAAAATTGGTTTCCTTTCACTAACTGATCCAAAATCATACTTATTATTTGTTTGGAACACTAACATTTAGTTGTCCATATGTAATTTCATTGCAACATTTCAAAATGAGTATTATTTTATAACCATCACTGGCTGTATCTTCCTATTTCACATGCAGAGTTTTTGACTTTTAGCCCATAGGAATGATGAAAAGTTATATACCTACAACTCTCATTCTTTGGAAAGGAAAAGTTGTACCTAGTTTGCATTCATGCAATTGTTTATATTTATGTATTCTGGAAGTGCAGTAAGTATACTTAGGAAAATTATATTTATAAAAAAGGATGACTTTTATTGACTATGAGATTTCCAAATGTGGATTATTTTAAGTTGGACTGTGGCCTTATTTTTATGTAATATAAATGTATTGGTGTTCTCCTCTGTGGAAATGGAAATGAAGATGACTTTGTGAATTTGAATTGTACCTAAATACTAGTCTCTTCTGAGGAAATACAGAAAGAGTAAATCTGAGATAGTACTACAGTAATTATGAACATTTTTTAAAAGTTGAAGAAAAAAATCTAAAATAAATATAATTGACTTTACAGACAATATTGTCCTAACAAGAATAAAAAAGCAAATATACAAAACAAAGTAAAAAAAAAAACCTTTAGAAGCAATTTTAGGAGGAAAAATGTGATAATTCATGATTAAACCACAGCTGAGTCACATCATTTGCAAATGACTTAGCAGTATGATACTTGTAAAAAAGTAAACATTCTTCTGGACCCTGCTGATGCAAGTATAAGATCTGTATATTTAATGAAGTGGAATACTTGGAGAAGTTTGCAAAGGGAGCCAGAAAGATAAATAAAAATACTACCTATTAGAAATGTTGAAGGAGCTATTATCATATATCACAGAAATAGAGAAAATAAGTACAGCATATAATCCCTCATTTATCTGACTTTATTTGGGAATGAAATGTTCCATACAAGTGCAACTGTTTCAAAAGTAAAGTGTCCAAACCATAATTTTAAAAATTTATAATTTCAAAAATTCAAAATCTGTTGCTTTCTTTCCGGCCTTCTTAAACAGAATATGCTGTGTATTTTGCCTTTGCTTGATGTCTTTGAAATTTCATAATGAACATTAATATTTTTCCTTTGCTGCAAAATAGCACTGTCTTCAGGGTTACTAAATTTGGGGGAAACAGTTTGCTTGCATGCTAAATGATTTGACAGCTTACATTTTTAGAAGTTCTTTTCTTTTCTTCTTTTTTTTTCCCTACAATTTTTTTCTGTTTTTTCTTCATTATCAAATTAAAGCTTTCAGCTCTCAATTTCTAACATATTGATTTAATATTGTAAGTTGGGCAGTGATACAAATAAGCTCTTGAGAATTGTTGTAAAATAAGGGTAAAAAGGTGGAAGTGAAGCCCTGAGACACCCTTCTATAAGTAACTGCCAAGGAATTCGGTGAAGGAACTCCATGGCATGCATTTTGGCAACTTAGAGGACATGTTGGTCTCTTTTTTGGTTTTCAAATACATTTTGGTACTTTCAAATTGCCAGATAAGTGATTTTGGGCAAATGAGAGATTATCAAGAGCATAAAGACCTATAACTCCAATGGCAAAGGGCTTAAACTGAAGTAGATGTAACTTAAAGAAACTGAGTATTAGCCACTAAGTAATTTAAGTAAATGAAGTATTAATTTAAATAAACTCTATTGACAATTGATTATTAAACAAGTTAAGTATTAACTACTGACTATTAACCATTGAATGCAATTTAAATATACAGAACATTAACAATAATATATGATAAGCCATGGAAACAAAAAGATTTATGCATGGAAATGAATTTGTTACTGGATATAGTTTAAGAACAGTTCTGCTGAGAAACTAAAGGATTAACTAGATCCTCTTTGGGGTTGATTCTGTATATTTATGTTGATTTGCTCCCTTTTTTATATGACATTATTGTTTTAAGTGGGACAATGACAGATTAATTGCTCATTTTTTTCATCATTAGGATTCAACCTACAGTCAGCAGTTAATTATCCCAAGTATCGGATTACCTTTGAAAACCAAAGTATTTGCAGCTGTACAAGCCACTAATCTGGATGGCAGGTATTTTCAAACTCTTTTTTTTTTTCTGTTGGTTAAAACATTTTGACTACGGAAAGCCTCATGAATCATAAAAATAGTACATTCATTTTTAATTTAAAAAATACTGTCATTGTCACACCATTTAGGAATGCTAATAAGTAGAAATAACAAATTACAAAGATTAGGGAGTGACACTTTGTGTCATTAATTGGAAAATAACAAGTCTTCCCATAAAAAGGGAGGGAGAATTACTGGAAGTGGCAGATCTTCTGGGATACCACAATGTTCTCGTCTTTCATCTGAAAGATGATGAATCAGATGTAGTCATTTTGTGAACATTGATGATTTGTGCACTTTTTTATGTGTATGTTATTATTCAATGCAAATTTATTAAAAAAACAAGAGGACTCTCCTCATAGTGATCTGGGCCAAAATTATATAAAATGAACTTCAGAAACATCTCCGTAAGAAACCCCAAACTGATCAAGTTTCATATAATCAAGTTTCATATGATCACGTTTTAGATAATCCAGAATGATCAAAATTGAAAGGGAATTCACAAGCTGAAGATCCAATCCAATATTATTATAAAGATCCAATCACATATTATTACATAAACTTTGCATCCTGAAGAGTATTCTCCAGTATACTCTGGAAATTTAGTTCTTTACCTTCTCCCTTTCTTTCTTAGTATTGCTATTCTTGGATATATATGATTCTTTAAAATTATCTTATCAAATGCAGGATTTAAAAAAATTATTGTCATTTACTTCCTATAGACTAGTCATTTTTATAACACCGGAGTTAGAATGAAATAATGTAGGCACAGTATGGCCTTGTGGAGGAAGGCTGTGTATTTGCCTCATGGTTTTCTTTTACCTAAAACAGCGTCTATCATGGACTCCCACTCTCACCACCACTGATTCTGGCATAATTTTCAGTGTATAATTTATGCACCAAACTTCTTGCTGTATGTGGCATTGTAATATCTTCTGTCATTTTTTTTTTTTAAAGATTTTATTTATTTATTTGAGAGACAGAGAGCTCATGAGAGGGGGGAGGGTCAGAGGGAGAAGCAGACTCCCCGCCGAGCAGGGAGCCCGATGCGGGACTCGATCCCGGGACTCCAGGATCATGACCTGAGCTGAAGGCAGTCGCTTAACCAACTGAGCCACCCAGGCGCCCTATCTTCTGTCATTTTTAGAGATAGTAACTTCTGGAAACAAAAGGCTGTTGTTCATAGTGAATATAGAAGCATCTCTGTAGCTCACTTCCGGCTTTTGTTTCTTCAGACTTTGAACAGCTATCATGTACACAATTTTTTTGTGTATGTGATATTAGCCTTAACCCCACTTGATGTCAGATCGCAATTTGCTGCAGATTTTTAAACACCTTGAGCTTAGGAGAACATTTTAAAACAAGAAGCCTCTGAAATAACCAACAAAAATATAGTCCTATCCTGTGGGGGTAAGATGTTTGTCAATATTTACTTCCCTTGGATTAGTAACTAATACTCAAAAGGAAATTCTGACTCTGGATTATGCTTACCTCTTTCTGCAGATGGAATGTCTTAATGGATTATTGCTACACAACCCCATCAGGGAACCCAAATGATGATATTCGATATGATCTCTTCCTTAGGTAAGTCTTGTATTGATAGCAAAGACCCAATTGTAGATAATTGAAATGAAAACTCCAAGTTACATAAACAAATTGTAGGACACTTCTGTAGCCTTTAACTTTAAAGTTTTACATTGTGAGCTTTTAGTCCTTACAAAGCTGGAAGTAAAACAGTTGAGAAGAGTTTTCAACACAAAATGCTGATAAAGCTATTGTTGAATGAGAATTGCAAGTAAGTTAGGTCCATCAAAGATGTTTTATTCATGTTTGGGACATATGGGAATATTTCACTGTCTTAGAAAAAGCATGGTTAGGATATTATTGGCAGTCAGAGAAAGGCAGTGGGAGGTACTATTTATTCGCAGCTAGATTCTCATTGTATGTCAGGGAGAGTAAAATTAAAGTAATGGTCTGGATAATTTAGACCCCCAAATGCTTTTCTTCATTTATCAGTATTTAATATGAAAGTATGATATAGCCTACTACTCCTTTTTTATCAGAGCCAATAACTTCAACTTCATTCTCCAATAGACAATGATAGAGTGAATGTAATCTACATTTAGGGAAAGGGGACATTGATCATAAAAACATTCAATCATCCCAGTTTCCTTTCAGCATTTTTATCTGACAGCAGAGAAGACTTGAGATTCAAGCAATGGCTTCTACTCATGCTTATAAAATGCAGCTGGCTCAGATCACTGCTGCTTATTGACACACGATGGGAGCAATATGATGGGAAACCAAAAGAATATGTTTTATTGGCTAATCAAGGTTAAGATGATGGTCAGAGGCAAGGTCAAACTGATATTCTTATATCCTATTGCTGTAAGTGTTAATTTGGGCAACATTTTTGGGAAAAAAATGTTAATATGTATCAAAAGCCTTAAAAAATTCCATATTCTTTGATGCTACACCCACAAATTTGGAAGAATATTCTAAAATATTTATGATTTCTGATCTATCATTGATATTTAAAATACTAAAACTTGGGAACAAACTGGATGTTCAGCAGTGAGGAAATGGCTAGGTGAATTATGGAGAACTAGTGATTTGGGAGCTCATACAGGCACTAAATTATATAAAGCTATTTATAAAACAGAAAAAAAAGATTGGTTCTATTTTATCTTCTACCTTTCTGTCTTCTTGGTATTTTTATCCTTGGAAATATGTGATTCCTTAAAATTTAAGTGATTTGAAATATGAAGTGAAAGAATCAGCATATATAATTGTATGCACAATGAACCTCATTTGTATAATATATGATAGACTGTAAGGAAATACATCAACAGGCTGACAGTGGTTATTTATGCATGGTAAGATTGTGGACCATTTTGTTTTGATGTTTTTCTTATTTTCCAAAATTTCTATAATGATCACATGCTGATAATCTGGAATATGATCATCAGACTTCTAGTATGACTATGGTTTAGGGCTGAATCTCTTTGGTGTTCTTATTAGAACTACAGAGAGTGAAATGAGTAACTAAATCAGTTTCTCAAATGTCAGTGTTAGTGAAAGTAGGTGAAAAAGAAAACTGAGAAATCCCCAAATATGTGTTTGTGTTGATAAAAATAATTAAGATCAAGAGCAAATGGTGCAGAGGGAGGCCTGCAGGAAGCAGTGTGGGGAGAGGTGGCAGGAGAAGCAGGGAAGAAAAGTCAATGTTGAGGCGTCCCGGTGGTAGCAGATTTCAGAAACAGCCAGGAGAGATGCACACCCAGAAGGAGAGGGTACCACTCTGAGTGGGAGTTGCCAGGAACAGGGCCGAAAACCAACAAGCCAACAGCCCTGGAGAATGTGGAGAATGAAGGGATAGAGAATGACCAGAGCCTCAGAAGTGGCAGAACTCAGAAAGTGCCAGGAAAAGTATACCTTCTAAAAAGTGAAGGATTCACCTGGGAAGACAAGGGCCTTGGTGGAAAAGGCTTGTAAGTGAAGCTGAGGAACATGGAGCTGATAGTAGAACTTTTGAACATCTTTAGGTTCAGAGAGGCAAGGAAAACTCAACTATACAATTAGTGCACATTAAATGGAAACTTGTCTGTCCCTCTAAAACAAAGGCAAGGTAACCTTGAGTTGAGGAAATCCTTGAGGAAGGTCATTACTGTTCCACATTGCCCAAAGAGTCCTCAGAAAAGGACAAGTCTAGGGAAATCCAACTCTTTCAAATGTGAATGTTAAGCAATGAAGATACTGCTTACAGTGTTCCAATGTACTACACAAGAAATGTAAAAAATAGCTGAGAAAAAAAAATTTAAAGATAAATTAAACTCACTGGAAAAGGTTGCTATGAAACAGATAAGATTTGCAATTAAACATTGCAACATTAATTTTTTTACTGAAAAGTAACCATAAAGCAACAAAAGCAAAATTAAACAAATGGGATTATATCAAGCTAAAATCTTCTGCACAGCAAAGGAAATCATCAACAAAATGAAAAGGCAATCTACTAAATAGAAAATACTTACAAAACATATATCTGATGAGAGGCTAATATATAAAATATATAAAGGAACACCTGGGTGACTCAGTTGGTTAAGTGTCCAATTCTCAATACCAGTTCAGGTCATGATCTCAGGGTTGTGAGATTGAAACTGGAGTCGGGCTCTGTGCTCAGTAGGGAGTCTGCTTGAGATTCTCTCTCTTTGTCTCCCTCTGCCCCCCTTCAAGTAAATAAATAAATCTTAAAAAAATAAAATATATAAAGCACTCCTATAACTCAACAGTAAAAAAACAATCTTATCAAAAAATGGGCAGAAGATATGAATAGATATTTTCTAAAGAAGACATAGAGATGGCCAACTGGTACCTGAAAGCTGTTCAACACCATCAATCATCAAAGAAATGCAAACAAATACTAAATAGAGATATCACCTCACACCTGTTAGAATGGCTACATCAAAAAGATAAGAAATCACAAGTGTTGGTGAGGATGTGGAGCAAAGGGAACCCTTGTGCACTGTTGGTGGGAATGTAAATTGGTACAGCCACTATGGAAAACACTATGGAGGTTCCTCAAAAAATTAAAAATAGAATCACTATTTGATCCAGCAATTCCACTCTTGGGTACTTATGCAAGAAAATGAAAACACTAACTCAAAAAGATATATGCACCTCCATGCTCATTGCAGCATTATTTAAAATAGCCAAAACATGGAAACAACTTAAGTGTCCATTGATTGATGACTGGATAAAGAAATTGTGAATGGATATCATGGGAAAAAAAAAAAAAAAACCTCTCATAGATATCATAGATACAGAGAACAGATTAGTGGTTGCCAGACACAGAGACTTGGGGGTGAGAGAGATGGATGAAGGAAGTCAAAGGTTAAAAAAAAGAAAAGAAAAGGAATTGAAACAACAGAGAAGAGAAGGACAATAGGGGAAGGAAAGAAAGAATAAGGAGGCAAGGCAAAAATTGTCAAGGGTGAAGAGAGGAGACAAGGGCAAGGAAAGTAATGGAAGGAAAGGGAAGGAAAGAGAAGGTAAATAAACAAGAAAAAAGAAAAATTGGTATCCTTCTTTGTAGTAAAAATAAATGACCTGAAAACATTCCTGGGAAGATTGAGTAGATAGAGTTTTGCCTATTCCTCCTGCTAAGTACAAAAAAATCCCTTAATATTATATACAAAATAAATATAAAAAGATAAAAAGATGGAGATCAGGTTCAACCAGCTAGGTACTTTGAGATCTGATGAATGATATTGTGGTGAGTTCCCTGGGTTTTCTTTTAGTCTCATATATTCCAGACTTAGAGCTGAAGAAGTTAGTAACTCAAAATACTAGGGGGCACAGATATATATAAATAAATGAATGGGTGATAAGCCTGTCCAAATGAATGAATGAATGATGATAAAGCCTGTCCTCTCAAGCCAAAGTAAAACAGAAAACTTACACAATAATTGTGCTACTCTGGTTTAATACCACAAAATAAAACCACAAAATAAACTGTGGCTTCATTCCCACCCAGGCCAACAAAGACTGAGTGGACAGCCAAATTTCCATCCTTGTCTGGCTATAACAAGGTATCCCAATCTCCCCTATGGGATGATTTCAGAGAAGGCGAGTGGGGATTCTGTACTTCTACTCTCACCTGGCAATAGTGAAATACCCTTATATGCCCCATTGGGTTGATGTCAAAGGAGTCCCAGTGGAGAGTCAGGCATTTACTATTACATACAAGACCATAGTCCTTGGGGTGTTGGTGGAAGGCCACTCCTACCCCAGCTAGTCAAGGAGATATTAGTGGGTGCCTAATGGGGAGTAGAAACTCCCACCCTACCCAGCATTAACAAGATCCCCACTCGTTGGGGGTCAAGAAAGTCCAAGGAGTCTGGGTTTCTACTCCTATTTGGCAATAATGACAGCATCCCTCCTTCCCTGATGAAGTGTTGGCAAAGGAAGCCAGCTAAAATACAAGGTTTATATAAGATCCTGAGTCTCATAAAATAGTGGTCCAAATGTCCTAGGTTCAGTAAAAATCACTTGTCACAACAACAATCAGGAAGATCTCAAAATGAATGGGAAAAGGACAAAAATAAATGTGACAGGGAGTTTAGAATTATCTAAAAAAAGATTTTAAAGCAGTCATCATAAAAAGTTTTAACAGGCAATAGCAAACATCCTTATAACAAATGAAAAAATAGAAAGCCTTAACAATGAAATGGGAAGTCTCTGAACAGAAATGGAAGACATAAAGAAGAAACAAATGGAAAATTTAGTACTTAAAAATACAATAATAAACAAGAAAATGAAATATGTAACTACCCTACAATCTAGCAATTGCATTCCTGGACATTTTTCTCAGTGATTATGAGGTTTATGTAAGAGACTCACACAAAAAAATGTGTACACAAATATTAATGATAACTTTATTTGCAATAGCCAAAAACTGGAAAAAAATGGATATTCTTCAATAGGTAAATAATTTAACTGTGGTATATCCATGGCATGAAATACTACTCCTAAATAAAAAAGAATGGATTATGATACACATAACATAGATGTATCTCTAGATAATT